AAAAAAAAAAAAAAAAAAAAAAAAAAAAAAAAAAAAAATATACCGACGAATTGAATACCTCCTTCTTTTGGGAAGTCGGTCAAAAATAGTGTTTCATCATTCATGAAGGGGACTTGTACACACGTTACACAAAAATTTCATTAATGTCTGCGCAAGAACTGGTTTTGTTGCGTTTTTATAAATTACTTTACGTTTTCTTACTTTATTGCTTTGGTGTTAAAGCCACAACCGCAATTTGTGCAGTTTAAATTTAATAATATTAATATTTTTTAAATGTTGTTTTAGGTTTAATTGGTTTTGAACTCTCATAGAAATTTGAAACCGTTTAATTCATTTCACAGTACATCTGGGAAAGTGTCTCCTTCATCGTTGTAATTTCTACAATGATTTTGTATGCAGATAGTTACCGAGTAGCGATAGAAAGTAATTATTTAAAAAAAAATATTAGATGAACTCACTTTTTATTAGTAAGTTCTGGCACAAGGCCGGCCATGATGGCGGCCACGCCAACCGCGCCGCCGCCCTCCACCACGTACTTCTCTTGCTCCACCAGCCGCAGAATGGCGCGCGCTATCCAGTCTTCATTCACTGTTATCTGTTTTGAAAGTAGAAGTTGTCGAAAAATATATCTTGCTTCTTACTTATCATACTAATATTACAAATTCGAAAGTTATATGGATGTATGGATGTTGGTAGCCTAAACGGCTGAACGGATTTCGATGAAATTTGGTATAGATGTAGAGGATAGTCTGGAAAAACACATAGGCTACTCGCTTTTGTTTTTTTTTACGCAGACAGAGTCTGGGCCGAAAGCTAGTTAATAATAAAAGCAAAAGTTGATTCATACGACATCAGCGGAATGGCCGTAATTATCTTCAATGTTTTGACAACATTTACTTATTACTATCAGTTATTTTTGGATACGTAATCAATCATGAATTACGTAGTTGAGATGTTACGTTAAGGTTATATAAAGAAAAACTACAGGATGTATAAGATTAATTAGAGAGTGTGCAAAAGTAATTTTTTCTCGAATAAGAGAAAAGTAACTATTCATGAATATGATTATGTACTTTATTTGTATTATTGAATTTCTCAGAGTGACCTTGAGTGGTATAAGGCCCTTGAGATGCTTACCAGCTTATCAATGAACGGTTTAGCAGTGCGGTACGCGTTGTACCCGACGGTGGGTACAGCGAGGCCATCAGCGAGCGTTGAGCGAATATCCACGCTCACCGGTTCGTCTTGTCTCATTGCCATCTTCATGCTCGGACATTTCTCTGTTTCTACGCCCTGGAATGTTTTTTTTAAATTCTAGCTTTCCTTTCTTTAACACCTCTACCGGAACCAACACCGGCATCACAGTGTTGTCGATGACCATTGGTAGCACGGTAACGGTCATTATCTTGTTTTGTACGTATTTTTTAAGATATATGGCTTATACGCTTTAGGTTTGCGATTTTGGTAGTAGGGTTTCTCAAACCATGCAACGCAACTACAGTTTCTATAGTATTACGGATGTCCATGGGCGTCGATAATCCTTGGTACACATTCTCTTATATAACAAAGTTTTGATAGTTTGTAATTTATGCAATTTTCTTGTATCTTTTTTAATAATAAAAAAAATGAACAAACAAGACACAATCTGACCATTCACCTAATAAAGAAATAATACAACATTACAAGAACTGTAGTCCTTATCCTTATAGACAAGTTGTTCTCCAAGTAGATAAAGGTTTATTTATTTTGTATAATTACACCATTGTACTATGAATAGCTAATAGATCGTTCTGTAATCTTTCATTAAAGATAATGGGTCAAATGTTATATTATCGCTTCCTAATCTTTATTATGGTCTGCGACGTTTACACTGCGCTTAATGACGAAACGGTTACTGAAGCTAATTCACTGGTTAAAACTAGATTTAAGCAACTTTCAAACACAGTAAAATAGATAAGAATGTTAAATAGTGTACAAGATGTTTTTATAGTTGCAAATTAATCGTTTTAGTTGAACCTGGGTAGTAACAAAACCGTCGTAACTGTAATATAAGATGTCTCCTAAACTCAGTGATATTTATATTTTTCAATAAGTGTATTACAATTACGTAGTGTACTAATTACGCAATACATTTTTTAAGCAAAAAAATATTAAGTATGTTTCTATAAAATATGGAATAAGTTTTACACCAAATTTTTATTTTGTAGATGTATTTGGTGATCTCAGATTTACAATAGAGTATAAACAAAAAACATTATAGTAGTCACATTTTGTGCTATTTTACGGTACCTCTCTATCTATTTAGGACAATGGATAAGAGATTTTTTCAAATGACCGTAGTACTTACATAAATAAGAACGTGCGGCTTCAAGTGTTTGATGGCGGTGGCGACGCCTGCCATCAGCCCGCCGCCGCCCACCGGCACCAGCACGGCGCCAACCTCCGGCACCTGCTCGATGATCTCCAGACCCACCGTCCCTTGGCCCGACATTATATGCGGATGATCGTATCTAACAAATTAACATAGACACACTATTCCATAACTATTTCCATTTGAATATGTACAGTCAAAGAATTAAATAAGTTTCCCACCGAGGAGCGTGTAAGTCAAGTCAATTTTTAGTTGCCATACTACTTCTGTCTTCATTAATTAATATTATACTGTAGCATTTTTATTGCGATTTGTGTAGTAATATGTACAATTTCCAAAACATACTAACACTTCAAAGCATGCAGGCCAGTCTAGCTCTTTTGTGCTGCCTAGTTAATGATGAATGAAGCTCACCCATTAATATATGTAAGTCCTCTCTCCTTCGCTAGTGTCATTGCGTGGTATTTGGCCTCCTTCATGTCGTTCCCATGGATAATAACATTGGCACCGTAAGAACGACATTTCTCGATCTTCATGATGGGGGCGACGTTTGGCATCACCACAGTTGTGGGGACTTGCAGCAGATTGGCATGGTAGCTCAGACCCTAAAATATTGTGTAACTTTTTATTTACGACAACGGATTTTTAAAAACAATTTTCAGGCTAGTGAAAAACCATTGAGGTTTATTTAGCGCTTTTTATATTAAACAAGATTTAATTGTTTTTGTATTGTTAAAAGAAAAAAAGGTAGTTTCTACCTTTTTCGATTTAAATTCAAACAGACCATTGTGTTTCTCATTGAATTTTAACAAATTTGCTTTCTATTATGTAGTTATAATTTTTAAATGATATTATTACAACGGGAAATACGAAAAAAAATGAAAATCTCAACTGTTTCCGGAAAATTGTGCTAAACAGTAATTAATCTTAATTAAATTAAATGATTTTATTCATATAAAGAATTAAATGATATTTAATTAAATAATCGAGAGATCGATTGTCTCTACTCGTTATGTGACGATTCGAATCGATGTTTTACCCCACCTGCGAATGATTGCCCAGCGATGCGGATATGACGCCGCGTTCCTTTGCCTCCTTTGATAGTAGAAGTAATGCGTTACGAGCACCGCGCTCTTTGAAACTACAAGACACAAAATTACACGAGCAAATCACATCAGGAAGTTACATGTCCGATTTGTTTATTATTACTTTGTTATCTGTAATATGTCCATGATAAAATATCAGTTTTATAAACAAATATTGATAATCAGTTCCAAGCTTCCTAAACTCGAAATTTGGTATGTAATTTTTAAGACTTTAAATATTAGCGTTTCGTATTTAGTTTTTAGAAATTATTGCATTTTAGCACAATTTTATATAAAAGATTTTTGCGATGTTTTGATTAGATTTATATAAATTATTTACCTTCCTGTATGCTGCAAGAAATCATTTTTGAGATATATTTCCATACCATAAATGGAAGACATGTGAGATTTCTGAAAAAAACAAATTTAAATACCTCAATATGCAATAACATTATAAAATAAAATTGTAATAATTCATAAAAAACTATAATTAAAAAATTAAACTCACCACGCATGGCGTTTTTACAATCCCACTCTGTATTCTAAACGCTGCAGCGGAAACATCTTCGAAAGAGATCTTATGAGGGTTCTCTTTATCGCACATAGGATCAAACTCGATCGTCTGAAATACCATGATTATATCCGTTACTGCATCATTTAAAATAGGTCCCTAACAACGACCTCACGTCACGTCTTACTTTACACTGAGTACAAAACGATCATCGTTATTTAATAAAACGTAGGGTTAATAGGTGATTATAACGTATCAACAAAACTTCTATATGGGAGGTCATTTAGATAAACATAGAGTACACAAAACAACACAAGTTGCTTTCACTAGACGAGATAATTACTAGCAATTAGTATTCCTTACTGGCTGGTTCCTGTATGTCTCCATTTTTGGTTAATATATTTATTACGTAAAACCTTGTTTGACCTATCACATCAATGTCTGTGTAAGAACTGGGTGTTTTGATTACTTTTACTTAGCTTTTATAAAGACTCAGATAAAAATAGAATACGAGCGTTTTATGTAGGTCTCGCAGTTAATAATCGAAAACTGTATATTAAATATAAAAAAAGTCTGATATAGAGATTTCTATAGATCTACTCTACAATGTCTATAAATCTTTACTGTCTTGAATTCCAGTATGCCCTAATTTGTAAATTATGTATTTTTTATTTACTTTATCGTTGATTTATTAATTTTATTTATAAGCAATGGTAGTTGCGTTGCATATTGTAAGGTCGTCGTTGCTATTTATTGTAGCTAATACCAAAGGTACAAGAATATACTCATAACATGCCGCACTAGGTAACTGATGTATTTCATAGCTATTAACTGTTATCGCGTTAATTATAATTTATTGTCATTTATTTATATATCAATGCTAATAATATTATAATGATGAAAGATATGTATTTTTTTATGTATTGAAATAACTGAAAACTACTGATACCGATTTAAAAAATTACTTCCCCAATAAAATGCTATCGCAAAGTAACATAATCCTTATTTTCTCTTTTTTTAGTGACACGCAAACGAAGTCACGTGCAACAGTTACTATGTAATAAACATGATTCTTAACAGTTCCGAAATTAGGAGTGTTTGACCTACTAACTACATATCTTGTATGAAAGTAGATTTAGTAAACTTAAACAAATAAGTAATAACTTTTTTACAACACAGGAAAGTCATTTTTTTGAAGGAAGTATTTGCGTCAGTGGTAAGATATTGAAATTAAGCAGGGCAACATTTGTTTAAGTTTGAAGGATCGATCGATCTGTCAATGTCAAAGGTAAAGCAACTATACAAAACGCCTCTTTAATATTTTAAATAAAATCTTGTGTTTTCCGGAAAAAGTTGTACTTCGACATCGAATTAATGTGTTATTGTATAACTAATTAACAGCAGTTCAAAATGCCGTACGCAAATCAGCCTTCTGTGCATATCACAGAGTTAACAGACGACAATGTAAAGTTTGTTGTTGAAGATACAGAACTCAGTGTAGCAAATAGTATGCGACGCGTATTCATAGCGGAGACTCCAACGATGGCTATTGATTGGATTCAGTTAGAAGCAAACTCAACCGTGCTTAGTGATGAGTTTCTAGCTCATCGCATCGGCCTCATACCGCTCATTTCCGATGATGTAGTTGACAAAATACGCTATTCCAGAGATTGCATGTGTGCCGATTTTTGTACAGAATGTAGTGTGGAATTCACATTGGATGTAAAATGTACAGATGATCAGACTAGGCATGTTACAACTGCTGATTTGAAATCCAGTGATCCCAGGGTGGTTCCTGTCACTTCTCGACATAGAGACGAAGATCAAACTGATTATGGAGAAATCGATGAGATACTTATAATTAAATTACGTAAAGGGCAAGAACTGAAACTGAGAGCTTATGCTAAGAAAGGTTTTGGAAAGGAGCATGCTAAATGGAACCCAACTGCGGGAGTTTCTTTTGAATATGACCCAGACAATATTATGCGGCACACATTGTATCCCAAGCCTGATGAATGGCCCAAGAGTGAACACACAGAACTGGAAGAGAATCAGTTTGAAGCGGAGTTTAATTGGGAAGCTAAACCTAATAAATACTTTTACAATGTTGAATCATCCGGAGCTCTGAAACCAGAAAATGTTGTCCTCATGGGGATTGTAGTATTGAAGAACAAGTTGCTAAATCTTCAAGTACAATTAGCACAAGAAGCACATAATGATGCTTTAGCAATTAATTAATATTTAAGATCAATAACATGAAATGAAATAAAAGTATTATTTGTGTATTGTAATCTTTTATTTATACATTTCTTTTGTATATATACAAAAACAAATTATATAGTTTGAATCGTCAACAATTATTTTTTATGTTTTACTTTTGTTAAACATTTATCTTAAGTATAATTTAGAATCAAAATTATTAAAACATAGTATTATTTACAATATGCATTGTTAGGCATAATTAGCCACTTAAAAAGTTGCTTTGCACTGGTTATTCTGTATTTCCCTGTTGACAAGTCTGTCTTTTTGACAATGATAATTTGATAGGTTTGTTTTGTAAATTTTTTGTCAGAATTATACAAATGTATAAATAAGAAAAAACATATTGATTTATAACAAATAAAGTCACATTCTGTAAAATACACGCTATGGTAACCATATTATACTAATCAATATAAAGTTTTTACCTTAGATAAGTAAATAAAAGTAATACATTATGTAAAGTAAGGTAGACAGTGGTAGCAATTTATAGCTTTTCTTAGGTCTTATATTAATTGTGAGTCATTACAAATTAAGCAATGAACAATAATTGGATTTTTAATATCTTTCAGTGTGACACAGATAATGTTCATGTTTTGAATTTCAATGAAATTAAACAAGCTGCTGAAAAAATTGAAGATGGAATTATTCATACCCCACTATGTGTATGTATGCCACATTTATTATGTTACACAGATAAGTAATAATTTGAAGTTTTAAACTAAATGTGTTATCTATGAAACAATTTTTCAGGAGGCTAAAATGAGCAAATGTATGGATTATGAAATTTACTTGAAATGTGAAAACTTACAGTACACTGGCAGGTAGTGTTATTAATATGTTATGAAGATGTTTAATTGCAAATTTAAAATAATAATTAAATAATCTCATTTAAGACAAGTCCTTCCTTCAGTTGTTCACGGAAGGATGCTACTTTTGCAGGAACGGTGGCTAACAGGCATATAAATAGTAAATAGGTCCAGAGCTCTAGGCGGTAACCCAACAGCGTCCAGTCCTAATACCGACATTTTTTTTTATAACATAAGATGGCAAACGAGCAAGCGGCCACCTGAATCCGCCAAAATGGCGTAGCGACCCCTGCCCATAGACATCTGCAATTGCAAATGCGTTGCCTACCCTTATCCGACGGAGAAGGAGACGCATATAAAGAGGATATTTCCTCTTCCTATGCATCTCCTCTATCGTCAAATCCACTTCCCCTTCCCATCCTCTCATAAGTAAAGGGTAGATACCGTAATACCGACATACATGCAAATATAATTATATTTTTTATACAGTTGTGCAGAACGTGGAATCAGAAATCTGTTTGTATCGCGCCATGATGAAGTTACTACTTCTGGAGTAATCGTCCCTTCTATTGGTAATTTGGCTATAGGTGCTGCGTATCATGGTGAAGCTTTAGGAATTCAGGTGAGCATGGTGACAAATTGTATTTTAATTAGATTTAGCTTCTAAAATCCACATTGTGTGCAGAATTCGAAATTCGGATCGAATCGAATTAAAAAAAATCTTGATTCAAATTTCTATCAACGATACACAGTGTGAAAGAAAATGTATATGGTTGTTTTGACTCTCGTCATATTTAATGATATTGCTATTCTGATAATAAGCGGGTATTTGTAATAATTAAGGTGACAGTGGTGCTTCCCGACCGAACGCCTCCCGCGTTAGCGCAGCGGTGCTCCGAGCTGAACGCGGACGTCGTCATTTGCGGAGAAACTCTCGAGGATGCCACCAATTACGCTAAGAAAGTGCATATGGAGACAGGACAATTCCTGCTTAGGTACACTGTTTATCTGTTTTTAAACGGAACATTCAGAATTGTATCCTAAATTGTATGTTTACAAAGTACCCACAATTAAATTAAGTAGGTACTTTAGGTAAGTCACAGTATTTTAGGTATCATATCGTCCCTTAGCCCGGACGAGCCGGCGGTGATGGCGGGGCTGGGCACTGTAGGGATGGAGATTATCACGCAGCTGCCGGAGGCTGACGCCGTCATCGTGCCCGTCGGTAGCGGTGGCTTGCTCGCCTCCGTCCTCATCGCCTGCACCAAGCTCAAGTGCTCCTGTCTTGTTTACGTGCGATACACTTGTACTCATTCTGTATTTAACGTTTATCTGTGGCTAGTAATGGTTAATAGTTATCGTTAGCTTCATCTGCAGAAACATTCGGATCACGATAAATTTTAGCATAGATGTAGAACATATTCTGGAAGAACAAATAGGCTACCTATTTATTTATTTTTTATTTCGCGCGGACGGAGTCGCTGGCGAATGCTAGTGATAGATATAAGCTTAATGTATTTATATTGTCTTTGTATAAAATATCAGGAATATTCAATTATAGGGTGTGGAGTGCGCAAAGGTTCCTAAAATGTTGAAGGCTTGCCAGGCGGGACATCCTGTCACGGTGCCGGTTGTACCCAATCTGGCTGAAGGTTTGAACACCTCCATCGTTGGCAGGAACGCCTTCGCCACTATTAAAGGACGACTTGATAGAGTGGTAAAGCGTTTCTTTTTTTCTAAAAGTTCCTTAAAACTAAACTGTTTTAGAGTTCCATGTACCATCATCCATCCGACAACTAATCGTCAATACGCAGTCATTCATCAATTTAACTTATGAATAACTAGCTGCAAGATAATATCGATTCTCAACAGGAAATAAAGAAACCTTTGATAAAATTTCTAATGGATGATATTGGTAATTAGCTAGAAGTAGACGAGGTCCACATCGCTCGTGCAATGATCAGCGTGCTAGAACGCGAGCGGCTGGTGACAGACGGCGCGGGCGCGTGTGCGCTCGCCGCCATCATGCAGGGTCTTGTGCCGGAGTTGCGCGGGAAGCGGTACATATATCGACTTTTGTTTATTTTTAAAACATCCACCAAGACATTTTAAAACGATTCAAATTGTGTCCGAATTACTTACAAATTCAGCCTTAATAATCTTAGAGTATTATAGAAGTTATAACGTTATTTTAGTGCAAAAATCGACGTTGAATGAATTATAAGACGTAAAGTAACTAACGTCTGATTTTATGAAACAGCACAGTATGCATACTAACCGGAGGTAACATAGACTCGAGCCGGTTGTCGCGAACGATACATCGCGGTCTTAGCGCTTGGGGCCGACTGATCCGCTTTGCCGTGCCTATGGGCGACAACAGATCCGGACTCGAAAACCTCGCTAAAGTCATATCTGATGAGCACGCCGTCCTCAAGAGCCTTGTTACTGAACAAATGTGGGTCCAAAGCGATGTCGGCACTACGTGGGTAAGTGGAAGTTTAAGAATGCCATAAGTAACAAAGTTGTTGAATCATACCATCTATCTCCTTACTATTAAAAGAGCGTTTAGATGGATGGATGTTTGGAGCCTAAATGACTGAACGGATCTTGATTAAATTTGGCATAGAAGAGGATAGTCTAGATCTAGAACACATAGGCTACTCACTTTTTTGAAAGCTAGTCATTAATAAAAACATCTTTTCAAATCATTTACTAAAGAAGTCTTAGTTGAATATTTTTTTTCTCCAGGCTAATGCTGTAGTCGAAACTGCCAATGAAGAACATTCTGACAATTTCAAGGATCGCATACGTCATTTATATCCATCTGCAAGATTTGCCGTCATAGAGGTCAATGATAAAAAGTGTGCTAATGTTCCACCTAAAGTTTGTCCAAATAGAAATGTTTAGTGAAAAATTGTAGTGTAATATGTAATGTGTAAATGTATGAAGACAAAGGGTAAAATAAAACCATAAACTGTTGTTTTTCTTTTATTTTTTAAAACTTATCCATTAAGCGACAGGGTCGTCACCCTTCGTCACGCGCGTGTAGATGACTTGTCCATGATGTTGGACAACCTGCTTTATTAAACCTGGAAAGAGAAGTAAAATGCTGTAAATTATTTGATTTTGGTCAAAATACAATTTAAGCAAACATTATTATTATCAGACTCAATATATCAGTATTTTTACTGTCATGGTTCATCTAGATAAAATGATCATCACAAAAGAATTATTACATACTAGACACCTATCACCATCACCAGCTCACTTTACAACACCATTGACAACCTCAGAGCCTTCCTTAAGTTAGGGTGAACAAGATGTATATTGCCAAAGAAATGACTGGTGTAATTTCTTTTATTTATACTTGAACATAACTTATCATATAAACATTTGTTGACATCCTACGAACATTCTACCAATAACATGCACATTCATAACTAGTGAGTAAAATACATTAATATAACATTAAGCTGACATAAATAGAGAATAAATGGTAAAATGAACAATATATCTATTCATTACATGTATTATGAAAATATATTGTTGGTATTCCTTATTTTTTCTGTTTAATGTTAAGTCATGAAAGATATGTATATCAGCAAGACTAAGTGAAACTAAGGTAAATTTGATTCTTGAACTTGAAACCATTTGGTTTTTGTAATGGCGCTTAGAACAGACTATCTTATAAAATAGTGGCAGATTTTGCAAAAAGTATATGTTATGTCAAAAAGAGAAATATTTACATACCCTTTTCCCTGAGTTCGATCAAGGCCCTCCTGGCAAGTGAGCCTCGGACCTTCAGCCTTTCAGAGACAACTGCGGGTGTGATCAGTTTGTATTGAGGTACTTCCTTGTACAGCTTCTCATATGTGGGCTTGTCAAACAACACCTGGTTGTTTAACTTGTCGCGGACTTTTCCTTTGGACCACTTCTGCAAATTTAAAATATGGCTGAGTTATAATTCATAAATATAGATAATTTATAAACAACTTGTATCTTTTATTTGTTTTGCCATCAGCCTCAATATATCAGTTAATTTTAACTTTCATAGATGTCAAGATGGAATGAATAATCATTTGGCATTTTAGGTTTTACAAAATGTTAGAAGTAACGCAATATAAATTATATAAAACTCGATGAATATTTCCACAAAATTGCTACCCATGTGGCATTTAGAACTAAAATCTTAGTACATGTAAACTATATTTGATTTAAGAGAATAATAAGTAAGTTGTTTGATAATTCACAGGACATAACCTAACTTTCTAGGAATAAAATAGTACCAACCTTCTTTTTGGCTTTACCGCCCCCGGAACCTTCCTTCTTCTTTTGTGTCTTTTGAGGTTGTTTGGCCGAAGCCTTCGCGTCCTTCTTGGGCGGCTAAAATAAAATAAAAATGCGACATGATGATCTGTAGCCACGAGGTTGTAAAACACAAGCAATCCAGAATTTCACAGCGATTGACGTAAATTTGATAACTTTGAAGTTAATTTAAGAATAACTTTTTAATTAAACATATAGTCACAAAATAATTCCCTCTGATTATTGTATATTTCAGAAACAAACGTATTAAATTCACTAATGCTCGTACTCACCATGTTGAAATCGGAAAGAAAAGAGTGAACGACAGATAACGAATGACAACTTACACTAAGCAGAAGTTTAAATTGTTGTCTATGGTTTCTTATGTTTGCGTATCGATATTGAAAGTGTAAAATTATTTAAAAAAAAACACAATTATTGATTCATCGTTTATTCAAAGAGATAGGTATTTTCTAATAATTTCACAGTTGTAATAATAATTATACTTCGATTATTTAGACGTTTATAGAAAACTACCCGTTCTTGAATGTCGAGACATACCTACCTAGAATTTTTATCAGAGATTGTTTTTAATATCTAAGCCATTAACTTTTATTATTAAAACAAGCTTATATAAATAAATTAAGTTGCCAGGATAAAGTATAATTAAATAAAAAAATACGCACAATTTTGTAATTTAATAGACTTTATATTCAACTGTTTTTTTTAATAATAGTAAATGGGGAAATGGAATGGGCATGTCTACTTCTATTACAGATGGTATTGTAGTGATTCATAATAGGCCAGTTCCTCTTCGGTCACCGACGGACGGAATGACTCCACACCTTGCCACAGTTCGGAAACTCCAAGAATTATAGAGTCAGGACTTAAATCCGTTTCTTTCACTAATCCTGAAAGTGATGAAAAAATATGTAAAATTACTTATTAGTAAATTAGATGCGGAAGTTTAGATGGTTGGAATGATGTTAGACGGTATCTCTAGAACGTCTCTATGGATTTCGATGAAATTTGGCACAAATGTAAAACATATTCTGAAAGAACAAACAGTATACTTATAATCTTTTTAATGCCGCTCGGACAGACTTGCTGACAAAAGTTATTTTAAAATAAATTCGTGTTTAATCGATAATTGCAAAATGGTGTAAGCACAGGTGTGTTGTGTTTTGTGAGGAGTATATACCTGTATTAATCTTGTTGACGAGGGCGCGCACGGCGGCGTCGCGCGCGCTGCTCACCACCTGCATGAGGTCTGCGCCCGAGCAGCGCTCCGGCAGCGCCTCCGCCACAGAACTCAGCTTCACCTCCCCGCGCAACTTGTAGCTACATAGATACATCAAAACATATGGCCAAATTGGTCATCTAAGTTCCTCTTTATAGTTACATTGATACAGATTAACGCTAAAATGCATTATGATGTACTTATACACCGGTCGTTTCTTCCTTACATTTAGACAACTTATTTAATTGATACTGTCGCTTTAAACTGAGAGCAACACTTCTCGTTACGACTCAGGATGCGCGCCAAGATCCATCCTTCTAGTGACATTGACAGCTGTCAGCTAGGGACGTGACGTGTATGCCGATAATCTAGAGTTGCGCCAATTCTACAGCTCGGAACTAATTTTGTTCTTACCATTACACAAAAGAATATTTTGAAAAAGCATTTTATTAATCTATATTTGATTTACTTCTCGTTTTAATTTATGGTATGTAAAAAGAAAAATATATAAATACATTTAAGTTGTTTTCCCTAACATTTCGAGTTGCGTACAACTTACCTTCTACACAAAGCAGTCAGCACCGATGTCTTCTCCTGCGTGCCGGAGTAAGGGCCGACGTATATCAGCTTGTCTAAACGTCCAGGCCGCAGTAGAGATTGCTCCAATAAATCCGGACGGTTTGTCGCTCCCATTATAAAAACGAAGCTCGATGTTTCCGCATCTATTGAAGTTAAAGAATGGAAAATGTTACTGTCTCCATCCATTTTCGCTGCCGCAATTGCTATACAAAATGAATTCGTACGCAGCAAGGGTGTCGCCAGGAAGAGGCAGGAAAGCAGCTGCACTCTCCTATACCAGCAGTAATTGAAAGTAAACACATAAGTTCTAATAACTACAACCCTTAAAGACCCTCATAGAAAATGAATTGACAGCTTTTCTTTACTTTGAAATAAAAATAGTATTTTTACTAGTAGCCCCCTACCTTCAACCCCTCTCCCCCAGGTGATTATCGGCTGACCGATGACCATAGAAGAAAGGTCCTTGAAATAGTTACAAACAAATAATGCCGTGGAATGCAATCAGCACAATAACGATAAAAACCGTGCAATGTTACCTTCTCCATTAGTGACGCCGTCCAGTTCAGCGAGCAGTTGGCTGACGACGCGGTCGCTGGCGCCGCCCGCGTCGCCCGCCGCGCCGCGCCGCGGGGCCAGCGCGTCCAGCTCGTCCAGGAACACGATACACGGAGACGACGCACGCGCAGATTCAAACACTTTAATAAAGTATATATATTACACTAGATGTCATCCGCGAGGAATTAAAAACAAAAACGAAAGTATGCTCTATGTCTATGCCAAATGTCATCGAGATCCTTTCAGCAGTTGAGTGACAAACTCTAACAAACATCCATCTATCTTAACTTTCGCATTTATAATATTAGTAAGAAATAAGAATTTTAAGGCACAAAATTTAGCTTTTAGTTAACAGTCGCGGTAGTGATAATTAGATGTTTATGTTGAGATTTCTAAAAAAATACAAGACTGTCTAACTAATCGGTTAGTAACACTAAAAATTTTCACCTTTTCTAACATTCTCTTCGGATTGTCCAATATACATGTTCAGTAACTCAGGTCCTTTAACACTCAGGAAGCTGACGTTAAGTTCAGTGCTGACTGCTTTAGCTATTAAAGTTTTACCACAACCCGGCGGCCCATATAATAATATACCTAAAGTACAAAGATACAATTATTCCCGTAATTTTTTCCCATCATATATTATTATAACTGCAAAATACCTGATCGCTTTAAAGAAGAATTTTTAAACAAATGTGGAAATTTTATTGGGAATTCTATAGTTTTTAATAATTCCTTTTTAAGTTTCTCCAAACCACCAATATCGTCCCAAAAAACTTTAGGTATTTTGGGCGCATCTAAATGCTGGCTTTGTAGACTTCTGATTTGTTCTAAAAAAAAAAAAAGTCAAATATAAAAAATATCTCCCATCAATTATAATTTATTTAATGCAGAAAATATAATTCTGGTATTTTAACAGATTATTTTTATATTTGAAACAGGAAAATAGATTTTTTTTTAAATTACCCAGTGCTGAATTAAAATCCTCTTCTCTTAATTCCTGTAGATTAGGATCTTGTACCAATTGACTATGGTTATGTTGTTTTATGTATGATTCTCTGAGAGCAAAATGTACTAAAGTATCTAAATCACCATAGACAAATGTTTCAGTTTTAGAAGCCACTCTTTGTAGGATTTCTTTTGAATGTTTGCTTAGACTTGAATTTGACAATTCTATATTTACACTATGGTTTGATTTAGTCTGTGCATCTTTTTCACTGATTTTAAGTTGCATAGCAGCAGCAAACCATTGCAACATTTCATATCGTTGTTCAACATTTAATTTCGGCAAGTGAAATTTATCGAGAAACATTCTCATTATATTTGGCTTCAAATCAACCTTTTCGGTGATCGCTATAAAAATGATCGGATGTTTTGTATAATTTTCGTACAAATCAGTTATTGAATTCATAAAATATTCCATTACTCTATGGTCTTCATTATTTTCTGGATCAACTGCAAACACCTAAAAAGTAAACATTAAGAGAACATAAAATATTTATAAAAAGCTGTATAAATTGATACAAATATTCTTTATATGACAAATGTTATTGATGCCTTAAGGTATAATTTAACTATTATAGAAATAATGAAAAAATGTCGCCATAATGCAGAAAAAGTTGGCAGTAACTTCTTTGCATTAGAAAGTGATGTCATAAAGGCGATTGAAACGCCCCCTAGGCAGAACATTTGTACTTTTAGTTAATCTTTAACACTTTAACCACAGATAAAATATGAGATTTTCATTTAGAAGCAATCCTTACCAATACAATAATAACTAATTTAATCTAAACCAGACTGTTGGTAATATATTATGCATCAAGGAGCATAGTACTTTGTAACTAATGTATATTATAAGATTACCTCAAAATTATCTAGTAGGACAATAGCAGGAGCTGCCGCCTTAGCTTTTTGTATAGTTTGGCTGATTTTACTTTCCGTCTGCTTTGCTGTTGAGCTTTGTAGACCATTGCAGTCCGCTTGCAAACAATTCATACCTGAAAATTGTATACATACATACATTTATGGATGTACATTCAAATCCAATAGAAAAGACAAATCATAATAAATGTATCTAAACATGTAACATATTTAAACATATTTGTATCATTAGTTTAAATATTGATATATTCCAAAATACATCTAAATAAAACAAATGATATGGTTAGCCAATAAAATCATATCATATGAATATTATAAATGCGAAAGTTACGCTGGATAGATGGATGTTTGTTAGCGTTTGTAGCCTAAACGGCTAAACAGTTCTCCATGAAATTTGGCACAGGTTTAGAGCATAGTCTGAAGAACACATAGACTACTTTTTATCCCGGGAATAGTTATGGTTCCTGTGGGAGTCATTAATTTAGTTTTTTAATGTTTACTTGATCATTCTGTAACAGTTCAACATATCTTATTGAAATTTGGCACAGATATAAAATAAATTCTGGAGTACACATGGGAAAAAGGTTCTTATAAATAAATTATTTCTCATTTCCATTGAATTTGTTTATAGTGAAAGGTCTCATTCTTACCATTATATTTTGCTAATGTTTTTACAATTAAATGCCTGCCAGAGCCGATACACCCAGTTACTAGGAACATAGGAATTATAGGGCTGGATAGAGTTGATGACAATTCATCTGTGAATTAATATACATAAGTTTACTTCATATAATTTGACTTTCAGATATTGCATATTGATGTAATTCCCAATAAAATATTTACTTATTTCTCCTGTTAAAAATGGATGTACTGCTTCTTGTATTTGGTCAAACTTCCGTCTCAGACCAGTAGGACATGAATGTATCAAATTTAATTGATTATCAGTATTTTGTGGCTTAAAATATTTATATTTTGGTTTCATAGAGTGTATGTTTTCTCCCAAAGTTAATTGGGTAACTCCTTTCACTATATAAAAAGCTTTTACAACATTGTCAATGGTCTTCTTAGTTTGAGCATTTGTTGTGTCTATGTCACTATTTATCTTTGCACATTTGAAATGTAACATTCCTAATGTTTCAACTAAATCCAAATATTTATAATGATACTTTGCCATTATTATTGGATTTAACTCTATAGTGATTAAGTCATTTTCACTTACTAATCTTGGTTCTTCAAAATGATTGCTTAGAATTTCCTTAATAAAGTCATTTGATAGATCAAAATCATTCACAATAAGGCACACTTCTGCGGCAGATGCTATTTTAGGAGAACATTCAAATGCAGGAATTGGATGTAGGGAAATTCCTACATTATCTGAATTATTTATACCCATAGATATGTTATAAAATTCATTTTCACTTACTAACGCAGTATTATCATGTACAAATGGTGAGCAAGTGATGGGAACTACTCTATAGTTTGCACAATTATTTATTACACCATCAGTCCATAACTTATTGTGTATTTCTGAAGTTTTGAAATTCAGATTATATTTTAAAAGTGGTTTTGAGTTTTCTCTCATACCCTTTTCTTCATACTGTTCTTTCTCTTCTGGAGTTAATTTTAATGCGACCCACAAGAGCCCATTGTCTCTATAAAATATGTTCTCAACACATAACTGTATAAAATTAGCTTGAGAAATGAATATACACTTGTGTAGACTAACATTTAATATGTCTTCATTTTGATGCTCCTTTAAAATGAACTTGAGTATATAATGTGGTACTGTCTTCATTGTAAATTTATTCATGCTGTTGTGTGGAAAGGCACTTTTGTGAAAATAGTAATTCGATTTAATTGCTAGGTAAACGAGGAAAGTGTATGGATTTAACTTTGGATAAATAATTTTGATGCAAAATTTTATCACCCATAGTTTAAAGGAAGTCTCTTCGTTCATATTTAGCCAAAGGTTACAGAAATATTTTTTTTACACCTTTTTCACGATCCCACTAATTTTAAACAATGTCTTCACTACACTTAATATATAGATAATTATTTAGTTGACTAATATTTGATAACACTTTGATAAAAGCATCAGATCCAGTAAAAAGATCATATTATTAGCGTTAAATTTATCAAAATAGCCAATACGATCGATTCAAGAATGATAAAAGCAAAAACAATACAAATGATAACAAAAACGTCAAAAAACCCAAAACCTGTCAATGTCAATTGATTTTAGTGTTGCCCTAGATATGTAGTTTATTAGTTTAAAAAGAATATTTTGTAAACACAAAACCTCTCGAAAACAAACTATCTGTCATAATAAGTCAAAATAGAAATTGTATTTTAAGATATAAAACGGCTAAAATAATATTTAATAAGTAGACATCATGTATGTAACATGGGCTACTTTTAATAATGTAAGAATGCTTCTGATGGCTTGCATGCCAATTGTAATTTTTTACTTAATATGGTTAGTAAACACATCAGAAGGAATTCGCAGTGAAGAGGGGACTCTCTTGGACCTTATATGTTGGCCCGATGGTAATGCGATTCCAGTTATTATAGCCTGCGGATCTATTATAGCAGTTGTTATTGAGGTATTTCTATAATGTACTACAATGTTCCTTCAGAACATAATTTTTGAGCACTGGCAAATGTGAACGAAATTATAGATTTCTAAGAGACTGTTGAAGAAAGGTTTAGAAGTATAGATTAATTAATTATGAATTTTCGTTGGATCCATTGATGTTGTATACTGCTACTGCCTTGTTCTCAAGACTTGCTTTGCTCATGGCCACATTCAACGAGAAATATGAACCCTAATATGTTTTATAATGTAATATGTATATTAAGTTTCAATTTTTTCACCTGTCAATGAGCTTAAAAAAATATAGAAGACCAAGTCCTTCTCTTTCATGTTTTCAGTTATACGGTTTGTATCAACTTTTTAAGGCAGGACTGACGAAAAGGGAATACAATGTCACCAACGGCTTATTTTACTATATTTGGGCATTAATTGTTATGATCCTTATTTTTCTTGCGATTATGTTTTACTCTGGATTACAGTCTACTATATTACGAGGTAATGATTACGCTATAGTGTGTAAGTGTAACATTTTATGTTCTTACTTCGTGTGACATTTTTTAAAATCTGTTTTGTCTTTGCGTAGCTAAGATTAAAGGTGGTATAACTAAAGCTATGTTAAGATACGCGAGTCACTTGCCTTCGAAAGTAGCAATAGACAGGCTACAGACGAGATTTCGCTGCTGCGGTCGTGTGGACTATCAGGAGTGGTTCTATATTCCTTGGTTTACCACCGAAGAAAGTGCAGCTACTAACGCTGTGTAAGTGAACACGTACGATAAATAGTAGTACATGTAAATAACATTCTAATTTTATATGCAAACTAGATCGACATTGCTTTTAGGATTATCAGTACTTGAAGATGCATTAGTATGAGGCTTCTTAAGACAAATGACGTCATCAAGTTTTTATCCTTCTATTTTTATGACTGATTTATCTGTTTGTGCAATTTTTCTTACTTACACCTTCGATAATACCGTTATTATAAATAGTTAAAATAATAGCCATAAGGAATTTTCCACTTAAATATCAATTAATATTGAATATTGCTATTAGAAACTTAATTACTTTTGATTACATTTCTTACAAAACTGTTAAAATTGATGTTTTTGTACCATTATAAAAGAGGTAAAGACAAAGTAAACTGGGAAAGGATATTAGTCTTGAGGATGTGTCTAACTCAAATAAAAATTCCACGACTGCGTTACAGGGCAAGCAATAGGTTCGTTGCAGACAACGTCCCCTACAGTTGCTGCTCTAAGGACGTTATGTCGCCCTGCATACATCACGGCGTCTCACATCGAGGAGTTATTTATAAATACGACCCTGCGGTTCGTTCACCTTTGTTATTGTCATAAATACCATGAAGTATGGATGTCGCCCCCCCCCCCTCCCCCACCTCTAGTATTCAATTCCTATAGGCCCACATAAATAACTCAACTTGTCAGTTCTTGATTAAAAACTGGACCACAGGTTAATAACCATTATCTTTGGTACATCAGCCTGCCTTCCCTACATTACAGGTTGGTGGTGGTTGGCGTGGTATGGGCATGTTATGCGACGAGACGATGGGGATATAAACCAGAAAGTGTTAAGATTGAATGTAGATGGCTAGAAAAGTAGAGGAAGACCGAAGAAAGTACGGATGGATTGTGTGAAAGAGGATATGCTCAAGGGAGTGGATTCAGATATGACGGCTGATAGAAATGTATGGAAAAGTCATGAGTTTTAATTAGGGTCAAATTAGTAACTTAATGAACTTGAACTTTAAGATGAATATAACACGTGAATGTCTATTTATTGCTACCTGAACAAAAACTCAATCCTCAACAAGATTTCCTTATGAATCGTTAGCGTTGAAATATCTTTTGTCATTTCTCGCTGGCATGAATATTAGATGTTACATAACTTACATTTTAGATATGTTAAAAAAACCTTATCTCTTGAATATACTTAAGATTGCGTCAAAATCTATGTGTTCATAAATAAAATACAGAAACAACTAACGATATGGTCGGAAGGTTGCGAAGAGAAATTAATAAACGAGATGATGTCGGTGTCGTGGAGATTTAACGCTGTGATGTCCTTGATCATTATAACAATGGTTAGTTTTAATTATATAAACATAAATAAAAACTTATTTGTAAAAGTCCTCTGTCGGGTTACTTACCGACGTTACGAGGTATGAACATGTTACACGGCGAACATTTACGCAGTCAGTATATAGTATTACGTGAAGGTAGCGAGCATTAAGCTTCTCCATACGAACGTTACACCACGTAACGTCGATCAGTCCCCACCTTAATAAACTGTTTTATCTAGTTTTTGGCCGTAGTAAATATAATTCTAGTTTCTTGGGTACCCTTGTAATTAAATTTCTAGATTCTACAAGTGATCGCGGTACGTTATTTGCACACTGCATATAAAAACGGTTTACATTGTGGAAATCAAATAACTTGCTACGCGTATCTTCTGCGTTCAGCTACTGATACGAAGATCCAGCAAACAATACATTCTAGAAGGAAGGCGTTTAGAAAGAAGAAGCCGAAACAGACACGAACCTTGCAGTGGGTGACCGGCAGCTCACAGCCTGCGCTGCGGAGATATTTGAGTTCAACAGATATGAACAGTTCTGATGAACTATTGAAACCGATTTTTGAATAATTTTAAATTAACACAGAATTTTATTGTATCAAAACATTTAAAAGTTATCGTAAGATAATTTAATGATACCAAAGTATTAATGAAATTTGTATATTTATATATTTACTATTATAATATAGAAGCAAGAATTAATATGTGATTTTTATCTTCATTAACCTAGGTCTGTGTAGTCCCTACGGTAAATATCAGGTTTTTTTTAGTTTTTAATTTGATATTGGGTTGAATTTAAAAATTAAACTAAAATTTTTTAATATCAAGCACCTTTTTCTTTAATTTACACAACACTTATGAAAAATTAGTAGTCACAAAGATGAGGGTAGATAGAAATAAAATGAATACTTTATTGAATAACGAAATCATAAATAAATTATCCGGAAAACCTAAAAATGCCAGGTCCTTAACATTAAAAATGATAAATATATTTTGAGAAACTAATATAATAATTGCCATTTCGATAGTTTTACTTTTCGTTAAGGAATTTATTTATCTTGTCTGGTTCTGCGAGCTCGTTAAGGCGATGCAGGTTGTCCCACCAGAGCTTCAAGCGATGGCGGCGGATCATGTTGAACCACGGGGTTAGTGGCCCTTCCAGTGTCGGAATAAATCTGCGACATAAAGAAGAATTGCTATCCAAGATACAAGTTCTGAATTTCTTCAATGGAAATGAATAACAACAAACATACTCAAACAATTTATTTTTATAAGAGCGGACGCACACCTTCGACTAAACAATCGCACTGTTCTGCGATTGTCGATTGTTTCGCAGCCAATTCAACTCTATAGTTGCACAAACAAAAATCGAGTATTGTGCGCACCTCCATATAAGCTCATATTTATCAAAGCGCGACTAAACAGTTGTGCGATAGTTTAGTTTCAGGTTCGCACGCTATTATGCTGTAATAACAGACTTTACAAAAATATTGTTGTAGCATCAATTTTAACTGAAAATTTACATAAATCATGTAATTGCTCAGTTTCTTCTAATTCGACAGGTTAGTCCATCTTTTGTATCTGAACTTTAACCCCTAGATATCTAAGATATAGAAATCTAAGAATACCTCTATAAAAATTTTACATTCGTCTTATTGAAAAGTGTATTAATCTTCTTAATAATAATTCTTTCTCTAGGAATATAATTATGTTACTACTAGCTTTCGCCCGCGACTCCGTCCTCGTTGAATTAAAAAAAAAGTAAGTTGCCCGTGTGTTATTTTATACTTCTATATTTAGGCCAACTTTCATCGAAATCCGTCCAGCAGTTTAGGCTACAAACATCCAATCTTTCGCATTTATATTAGTAAGATCCTACAATATCTATGGGCAGCGGTCGCTTCGCCATTTTGGCAGATTCTAGTGGCCGCTTGCTCGTTTGTCACCTTTTGTTATAAAAATATAGAATTGTTAGATTACTTAGTTTCGCGATTTTATCTATGTAATACTATATTGAAATAAATCGTTTCGGTTTGTTTTTTGTCCTATTTCAGTGCGTATTCAAATAAGATGTAAATTCGTTATCTTGTTTAGAGGTCATGACACAATGTACGTACATCCATTTGATGGTACTGACAAATGAGAAGATATTTAATTCGTAACATGGAGTTTCATGAATATTACATTGGTTGATTTAAGACAATCTATAAATTGAATAGCGAAATAATCATATATTCGTTCGAACAAATGGAAACTGTTCTTTTCTTTTAAATCTATACATTGTTTTTTGTATAAATTGAAATAACTCAAAAACTAAATTTACTACTTTTTAATTCCAAGTGGACGAAGACGCGGGCCACAGCTAGTCAATAATAACCTAGAAATGAGGTTTTCATACTTACGCATTGAATTCATTCTTAGGTACGTAGCAGTATTCTGATATTTCGTTGGGGTTTGGTTTGACCTTGACGTCGCTTTGGAAGAAGAGGATGTGATCTATCTCGTGCTCGCCCCACACGCCGTCGCCGGGGTCGTGGTAGTGCACCCGCGTCAGGAATGTGAACAGTTCCGGGTCCATCTGTTGTACAAAATAATTTGTGGAATGATTTCTTTTTTGATCTCTATTGTTACTACAAACCATATAAAACAGGCAGAGGGAGCGAGAGAGAGCGAAAGAGGGGAAAAAGAGAAAAAGAGGGGGAGAGAAAAGAGCGAGTTTGAAAAGGGCTTTGGTATGAAATGTTGCAAAAACGTTAACATTTGAAGCGTAAAATTATATTGAACCGTAAAAAAGTTTTTTTCAATTGTTTGCCATTGCCATAAATGCAGTGTAGTTTTTTTTTACTCTGGAGAGAAACTAAGTCTTAGGTTATAGAAGATAGTAGGTATCTAAATTAGACTTCAACTATAATAATTAATTCATACCTGATCTAGAGGAATGCCCAATTCAAAGTTTAGCCTTCTCCTTGCTGCTGTTATAATTTCTTCAGGCTTATCATCTATGTAGAGTGGATGACTGCAACACGCATTCGTGTAATAATCTGGATATGTCACCTAAAAGTCAGTAAAAACCAATAAAAGCTATTCTTAGTAAATTTATAACATTGTAAATGTAATTTATACCTTCTGACTGGCTCTTCTCTGTAAGAGCATGTCTCCACGTTTATTGAAAAGGAAAACACTGAAGGCACGATGTAACAGCACACTACCGTCAGCAGCCACTTTGTGACAATCACGTTTTGTTGCTGTACCAGTAAAGTTATCCTTCTCATCAACTAACAGACATATATCTTTATCTAGTGCTTCAGCCTAAAACGAAAAAATATGTTAAGCAAAAAGATCAACTAGGAGGTAGAAAACTGAATGCATGGACCCTACGAGTGGGATTAGGAGAGAGAGGTGATGATAAAAACGGCTTTTAACTTTTTAACTAAACATTTGAACTGTTATGTTAAGTTACTTGTTAACTGTTAAGTTAATAAAATTTTAACTTTACATCTGTGAGGATTCTATTCTATATTCTATAGTGCAAAAAATTAAAAGAGAATTAGTTGAAACTAGATTTTTGTTTTTATTAATTTACCTGATTTTGTTCAACCCCTTCATTGCTTTCTGGCTGGGGTTTTGCAGGATCTGAAGCCAGAAACCTTTTTTCATATCGCACTGTGCTCCACAGCCTCCGAGATAAATTTCTGACGAGCATCTTCTAAGAACATAAATAACGGAATAACAAAAATTAAATCCTAATAAAAATGTTTTTCTTTGAAGAATTAGTTTTTACATGACAATGGTAGGTAACAATGGAAAGGTGATTGAGCAAGATAATTGTTAGATTGCATGATAAATATTGAAAAGAATAATTTACTTGTAAGCACAACAATAAGATATTTTTAAACATGTTTGGACATGAGTTGATGTTTTAAAAAGAACTCATTCATTAAGAGTTAGTATTTTTATTTTATTGTAAGAAACAGAACTTTAATGTGTTGTCAAAACATAAAGTAATTATACCTTTTTTTAGAAACAAAAATGTATTGTTAAACTTTTACAGGATTTCAACAGAACTTCATCAATATAGGAACTTTATTGCTATTCCTTGGAAATATGGCTGATAACTTTTTAACTAAGGTCAATATAAAGTCATGTATTTAGAGGTTTACAATCTTCAACCAAAGAAAAAAAAATAGACAAAGTTCACGTTTGAGGTGTTTACGAGCTTATTACGTTCAGTTGGTACGCAACAATTTAATTAAGTTGTTTTTACTTTCATTGACCATAGAAACTTCTGGAACGATGCAATGTAATAAGAAGTAAGGTTTACAAGGTAATACAGAAATGGGAATATAGTTACCAAAAGTTTTAAAAATACAAAGTTAAAGATGTTTTAGTACGTACACGTAAAAAATATACCTTTTTAATAAACACTGATTCTTAAAGTTAATGGCACTTTATTATATAGCGGCTAAAGAAGTAAACATTTACTGAAAACCGTCACAGGCAAATGTATTATAGCAAGTAAAAAGTATTTTTATGTTAAAGAAACTTTGCTTTCGTATTGAAGATAAGACACAAAAAATGGACAGAGACAAAATAATGAACTGTCAACGTCAACTGTCAAAGCTGTTAATGTCACCTTACCTTCTGCCAACATTGGCAAATAGGGATGTTCATGTTTGGCTGCGTCAGATGTTTTTCTTACCGGCAGGTAATTACATTACGGATATTTTTTATACAAAGGCAAGATGTATTTTTCTATTTATATGCGACTGGGCACTGTTTCGCCTCGTAAGAGATGGAATAAAATATAGAGAACCGACCGCCAAACTTCGCTACTCCGAGAATGACTTAAGGAAAATTCATCTTTCATCTGTGGTACTACAGCTACGGGTGAGCCTGGGCCTGATCCAGTAAACTTGTTCATTTTTGTCTATTTGGGGTCTTTTGCTTCCAGCGCTTGACGCCGATATTTTTAAGATCACGTTCGACGTCAACTAGGTATCTAAGTTTCGGCCTACTCGCGTTCTACGTTCATTAGGCTTATTTTCTAACAGGCATTTAAGAACTCTGCAATCGTCGCTGCGGGAAACATGTTCTGCCCAGCGCGATAGTCTAATTTTAATGACCTTGATAATGTTTGCCTCTTTATACATTTGGTACAGCTTGTGGTTGTATAGTGATTACTTAAAGATGATGTCTTTGAATAATACCCACCAACGGTATAGACTGCCAAGCGTGTTCTGTTCATTACTCTTGCTTTATACGTTTAATATATCCATCTTGGATTCGTTTAAATTTTTACTTAATTGACAAGAGGGTAATTTTATCTTTCATAAATTTTAGTTTCCTTAATATTTATTAATCCACAACTTGTTAAATGGGTTCAGGTAAATAGCTAACGAAAATAGTGTGTTATTTTAAAATTATATCCGTTGCGAAACGTAGGTCTTTCCGTTTAGGCTTATCAGATATTTCTTCTTAACGATAAGATCGATGTAACATTTCTACCAAATTTGAGCATCCTGGAGACTTATTTATAAAAAGATTGAACAGACTCAGGATATCCCCTCCCGCTGTGTTTAAAATAACTCGATGAGACAAACATAGGAAGATCGTAACTTTAGTGAATAAGCTTTTTCATGGTGTACGCGTCTTTGGTATAAAAACGACTGTCGTCAAATCACCGAAGTTTTAATTTAAAATTTGTTTTCTTTTTATCAACATGGCTAAAGTTAAATTAGCTATAAGAATTAGACCGTTTACTGAAAAGTTAGTGGATTATTTATGTTTAATCGAGATCAATATCTGTGTTGTTTTAATAAAAAATATTTTTCAGGGAACTTAAATCTGATAAAGATCGTATTGGGGTTGTGTGTGTAAGCGGAGAGAAAACAGTGACAATAACAAATATCAAAGTATGTAAAATGCATAATATTATGACAACTTAAACTATTTTAAGCGATTTCATTTTAACTAACAACGTTACATTTTATAATAACTCATAGCGTTATTACGATTTTGCCAATATTGACAAGAAAAACTTCAGTTCCATATGTGTATTTTTTTAACTTTTTAATAATTCGCTGTGTAATTCTTTATTACAACTTTGTTCAGGTAAATACATCAGGCGCCGGCGACAGCAGAGAGCGCGTGCGGCCTTACTATGCCGATTTTACTTTCGATAGCTCCTGCCAAAGAACAAATGAGGAGTATGCTACTCAAGAAAAGGTAAATATATTATCTTCATAGGATTTACAACAAGTAGAGTCTTTTAATTATTAGATCAAGAAAGACATAGCATTAATATTTTTTTAGGTCTTCGAAAGTATTGGCGAAGGAGTGCTGGCTAGTATGTCACAAGGCTTGTCTGCGTGCGTGCTTGCTTACGGCCAGAGTGCAACTGGCAAGACTTACACCATGATGGGAACAGATTACAATCCTGGTTTGGTACCAAGACTTTGTCGTGCTCTCGGCGATGACCAGCCCGTTGATATTAAAGTCAGGTAACAATTGATCATTTTTAAATCTTTTGCATCTGTTTTAATTGACTTTTAATTAAAAAAAAATAATTCGTTTAACGCAAAACATTGGAATGACTAAAAGATGGTATCTACAAAGAGTTAGGTAAGCTATAAATTTTTATTAACTTATTATTTAAAATTAAAAAATAATTGTGTTCATACTTATAAGCTGTTCATACATATAATGCTTCAGACTTTGAGGTAAGCAAAAAAAACATAATATATGTTACGTGTTGAATAAAACGATTACAGACGCCATAAAATTACCAATGTACGGCAATATGTAGATAGATCACCGGCATCGCGTGCGCTGCAACAATAACCATAGCGTCTTCACACTATATGCATTGTATTGCGAAAACAATTTACTTTTCTTTATCTTGTATTTTGAATATCAAACTATAGGTACACGATTCCTTAAATGTTATACGATCGCTGAATCTATTTTATTAAGGCATGGTAGGGCGCTTGTGGTCGACCGCTTTAAGTAAATTAAAAATGTGAAGATACCAGAACATTTCAGATCAACTTAATGGGATATTGGTTTGTCATTGGCAAAAAAATCATAGACAAGATATTTTCGCAATATATCATGCTCTAGCAGAGTGTTTTAAAAGTAAAAAAAAAACTCAACTAAGAAAAACCTTAGTGACATAAAAACATTGCTCGTTATTTAAAAATTGTTAAGTTTTTTTTCCCATTACTTTTTCTATTATACAAGCGTAGAACTTTAAATGAAAGTCTATAAAAAATAATCAACTGAGTAAAGCGAAAAACTTAGCCGTTTAAGAAATAAACGCTGACTGTTTTGTTTTTTTTAATCGATCAAAGTAGAATGAAGTAATAAACAGGGCATAAACTTTCCCCCAAGGTCAGTATGTCACGCAATTGCTTATCTTACCGATATCTTACATGGGTTTACAATCTATGTACCATATGTCGGTACCATTTTCATATGTATATTTATACAACATACGTAACATAAACAAACAGTAATGCGTATCAGTTTCGCCAAAGAACAAAACAAAATAACTTACTTCGTAATTTCTACCTATTTTTCGTATTTTTTCTTGGACTAGAATAAAAAAATGAAATGATTGTGATTTTAAGTATTACTCACATTATTTCCTTTAATTTCGTCTTGAATTGACAATTATTTTATTAGTTACTACGTGTATGTTTATTGCGTGCTCTATGTAATGTATCAAAAACAATTATAAAATAAATAAGTGTGAGGACCACAAGGTATAAATTAACACGTTTAGTAGTTATGTGACAGAAGGTGATATCCCAAAAGGTGGCGTGAGGATTGTGGTTGCCATGTCTAGTTGTTAGTAGGGCTTCAGACGGGCTCGGATCACGTGCCCTCATCGTTTCAGTCTTAGACGCGCCGCCCGCCCTACACTTGTTACCCGTGAAATAGTGAGTTTTAAAATTAAGAACATGAATATTTATTTAAAATTAAGGTTATCGAAGCGATGTTAATAATTAATTAATTTGATTTTGATTAAATTACATCAATTTAATTTCTTGGAATCAATTTTAAACTATTATACTTCCAACCGGTTTGTTAGCCTATGCTATCTAATGTTATAAGGAGATTTGTATGTATTGAATTAACTCAAAAACTACTGGGCCGCTTTTAAAAATTTTTTACCACTGAGAAACATAGGCTATGTTTTTTTCCATTTTTTTTAAAATGCTATTCGAACGAAGTAGCGAGCAACAGTTAGTGCTTAATATAAAATTATGTTTATTTTGATGTTACATTTTTCAGTTATAAAATACGATGTGAAAGACACGAATGACTTGGTTTATTGTTTATTGTGACAATAACGATGAGGTGTCGCCAGCCCTCACGAAATCGTCTGTTCTACGATTTATAATCCTTCAGTATTGTGTGTATTCATCTTTGTAAATGGTTACATAAGGCTTTGTTTGTTTTGATTACTGTTTTTTGTTTTTTTTTTTTAAATTGCAGAGTATGTCTGGTGAAAAATAAACAATATAAAATGGCGGCAAAAAGTGTACCTAAGCTATTTAAGTTAGTAGTATTTTATCCCGATAGTAGAATTAAGGGAAAATACTAATTAAGTCATGTTTGCTAACGCTAGACGAATTTGAATTTTTTTCTTGCCCTGTACTAAAAAGATATCCTTGGCTTTAAATTCGCTTTGCTGAAACAGTCACGTAAAAAAGGTGATTGGGCTTTTTTGACAGTCGATTTAAAAGTGACGTGTCAAAAGTTTTAATATCGAACACAAAGATGACAGCTAAGAATGATGTGCGCTTGTTATAATCTGTCCTCAATCCGCGTCGTAAATTAGACCAATTTAGGTAAACGGTCGTCAGCTTGTTAATTACTTTCTTGTAAAATTTCGAATAGAGCGCAAACACAAAGTTTAATCTTTAGAAGTTTATTAAATAGTCGTTTACGGATATTATTTCGCTCATTTATCAAATTAATTCAGTTTTGGTGGCAATTTAATTTGTATAACATTTTGCATTAATATGTGATTAATGTAATTTTCCTAGCTTTTATTAGTGTAGATAAAGATATTTGTCCTCTATTTGAAATATTTCGCAGAATAGCCTCCTTCATAAACGGAGTTATATACATAAAATGTATGTTTTATATTTTTAATTAGTATATTGCAGTGACCTTAAGGCTAACAGCATACGTGTCCGTTCGCGGCCAATTGTGAAACAGCCTAAGTGACATTCTGCGGCAAATCTAGTTTTTGTTACACAATTTTTCTCTTGGCAGGCTTGAGCTCGACTCGGACAAAGTCATTGTCGTTTGTCGAAATCAAGTAAACTTAACACAAATATAAATGACTAGTTGTTCCTCGCGACTTCGTCCGCGTGAAATTATGGAATAATAAGAAATGTAGTTTATGTTACAGTTAAATTACCTTTCGAATGATGAATGAATATTTAAAATCAGCCCAGTAGTTTTTAAGTGTATATACAAAAATACCTATACAATGTTTTTATAACATTAGTATAGATGTGGGTAGATAATTTTACATGTACCTACATAAGAAAAGAGCCTTCTATATCTAAAAGTCTTTAAAATCTGTGAAGTAGTAGTTTTTGAGTTTTGTTAACGATTTTTTTCATGCATGTTACAATTAGGAACTAGCTTTGCACTTCGCCTATCGAGCTATAAATGAGAAAAAGGTATTGTTCCAGTCTTTTACATCTTACTTCTTGCTAATATTAGGTATAAATGCGAAAGTTTAGATGGATGGATGTTTGTTAGAGTTTGTAGCCTAGACGGCTGAACCGATTTCGATGAAATTTGGTATGGATGTAGGGGATAGTCTTGAAGAACACTTAGGCTACTCGCTTTTTGTTTTTTTTTTTAATCCCACGCGGACGGAGTTGCAAGTGATATTTTTAGCATTGCACATGACAAATATATCTGTCTCTATAGGCAAAAGAGAAAACGAAGACTGTATTATCGTTATGTAATTTTATTTTTCACAACCCTATTATTAAAATTAAACAAAGAAATTGTCTTTATTTAAGGGTCAATATTTTTTTAATAACCATCACAAATAGAGGTCATCTGATTCAATATTGCCAATTTATCGGGTCATTGTTCAATGGCGTAACGTATTGTGTGGGTTGTTATTGTTACAAATATTTTCCATACGTATACAATTGTGATGTTAGTATGATAATTGGTTCGTTATTGGACGCTTGATTATAAAGTGATGAATTCTGATCACGTCTAGATGTGTTAGTTTATTTTAATTATAATGAAATACGAAAGTGACCAAGACATGTTAAATCGAGCATAATTTTTAATAAGGCGTAATAATTTTCAAAAAGTGTTTACACCATAATTTGTGTCTTTCTAACGGTGTTATTTTGTTGAAAACTGCATGTTAATGTACTATTTAATACAGTTTCCTGGAGATATACAACGAGCGAGTGCACGATTTATTGGCGGGTGACGTCATCCCAGCTGTGGACACCTTCGGCTCCTTGCCACGGCGCAAGGGGAACGCCCGCAAGGACTTGCGAGTCAGGGAACATCCTACCAAAGGACCCTACGTACAAAGTGAGTACTTGTAGTGTACCTTGTTTATAGACTGTACACTATATTAAAAATATAAGCTTTTGTGATCGAGAGATACAATCGCGAGAAAACGATACACTTCAAAATAAAAAGTCTGTAACATCCAATTTTAAGTTTTTTCAGGACAAAAAACTTTATTTATCTGCGGTCCGTCAGGTATTTGGTGCTAATAACGGAGTTTTTTAATTATTGCTTTATTTCTATCTGTTATTTTGATACTCCTGACTATTAGTAATCAATCGTCTATTTCAAATATGATACGACAAATGTGATCAGACTAGGGAACAGTGGTAGAGCCTACTTTAACATCTTCGCATGAATGGGTCGGCTCGCCCGGTGTAATACTGCGACCACACAGAAGACAGGCGTGAAATGGAAGTAATTATGCGTTTCGTCTGATAAGTATAGTGGCCTAACTTTAGCCCCTTTTCACTCCTTTTCTTATACGAATAAGATGGGAAGGAAACATTACAGAATAGTTTTTCGAACATAGTCAGTTGTCTATAGTGTTAGGTAGAGGACATAGAGTGGAGGACTTATGAACAGCTCCTCAAAGACTAGTTTACTGTGTAGATCAGGACCACCCCGGGATGGAAACGTTGGATTTAGAGATGCAGATGTATACGAAGGGTAAATAATCTCTTCATGTGCGTCTCCTCCTCCGTCGATGAAGGGTAGGCAATGCATCCGCTATTGTATATAAATAAAAAGACTACTGAGATGACGTAGTAACGACGACAACGTTACATCATTAAATGGGAAGACAAGTAGGCCGTTCACCTAATGTTACGTGTTACGCCTAACAATAACATAATGGCGTTACTT